TGTTGTGGTGTGTAGTTTTGAAAACAGAAAAGCTTTTTTTTTTTTTTTTTTTTTTTTTTTTTTACTCCTTCCTCTTTTACCTTCTTTTTTTCTCTTTGTTTAATTAATGATTAGCTTGGGCTTATAAGGATTCATAGAAATTCACTTATTATAAAACATCTGAACAGGTTTTTAAGGTATTTCACAGCCATTTAAAAGAATATACAGTAGCTTTGACCCATAGAGGAAAGAAGGGAAACCAGTCATGTTTATGGTCTTTCGGGGTTTTATTTTGTTTTATAATGTAACTTATTTTTTTCATAAGTTATATATATATCTTTAAAAAATGGAAATTTCTGTGTCCATTTGAAAGACCAGATTTTCGGTGAATTTTAATTGTATGAGTTCTGGCTTGAGTATATGTGAGAAATTGTTTCATGAAGAGATTCTTACTTATTATCTGTAACTAAATCCATGAAAAAATGGTAGCCAGGAATTAGAACATTTCACTACAGGTTTCGTGTGTATCTTGTGAATATGCCTGAAACCTGCAGGAAAAAGATTGAGGCTTTTGTTTAAGATCTGTAAACTAGCATATCATCTGTGAATAGCAGAATTGTGGGAAATACAGCTATTTAAAAATAAAAAAATTAAAAACCTTAATAATGGCGCCAGTGCATCTTTCACAGATCCCTTGACTAGAGTTCTGGAGCTGATGACTTTTGGCTTGGCTGGTCTTAATACTTAATTTGAACTCTGGGCAACTGGGTCAGATTTTTTTCTTTTCTTATTTCTGCTTTGTTTAATTTATAATAATAATAATCTGTCACTCCATTGCTGGCCATGGCACATTCTCAGACTGGCTTGCTTTGCAGTGAGGAAACAGCAGTGCTTGTTCCTGTTAAGATATTGCGTACGTGTAAGGGTAGAGCTACTCAATAGAATAATAGTCGAACGTGTTAGAGTAAGAATATGTTTGAACTGAGGCTGAGTTCCTTAAAAATTAGTATCTGGAAGTACTTACCAGCATGTGACAGACAAATATTGTTAGCATCATCTGTGGCTACTGAAAATTTATGCTAAGTGGAAAAACTTAATTGCAGTATTTACATTACAGAGCATTACTGGTTTTCAATCATGATGATAAAATTAATCACATCGTTAACTTGATTACTAATACTGTCTTTGAACAGCAAGAATAGAAAACGGTGTTTATCGTTACTAGCTTGGTTTTAACATGTATACAATGTGCAGGTTGCAAAGGTACCATTAAAACTCAGTAGACTGTATATTGACAAATCTGTTTTTCATACCCCTTACTTTTAGTTAGCCATATTTTAAGACCTCCAATAGTTTTTTTTTTTAGTTTTGGACTACAGTGTCTATTTATATTTGTATATCTCTTATATTTGTTTTCATTTTCTACCAGTAAAATTATATCTTTCTGCAGGAAAACAATGTTTTGTTTTCAGACAGGTCATAAAGTTCAGTAGTGTGTGCAGTAAAAATGGCAGAACGTGATGGGGAAAAAGATGGGGAAAAAGACAAAGGTAGCTTCAATTGCCCTAGAGTTGTCCAGCTTCCTCAGTTGGCTGAGCATAGAACTTGGACTTCTAAATTTAAACGTTCTGATATGTCTAAAATAGCTGGTGTGATGCCAGTTTGGAGCCACTCTTTATGGTAGATTACACAAACACCTTTGTGAAAACAACCAGTGTAGACAAGTGATGTTTTGTTCTGTTCTGTTTAAATATGTGTTCCTTACCAGAGAACATGAAGTACATGGGTGTACACACAAGGGACTACTGGATTTCAAAGGAATGTAAAACAGGGAAGAGTCATTGCTTGGAAAGCAAAAATACTCTGAGAAATAATTTAGATGTATAAAATAATTGACAGAAAGACATATTGTCCAAATCTCTGCATATGTCCTTCACTGATGCCTGAGAATGATGTATGTCTACAATAAAATGCAGTAAGGCTTATGCTGTGTGTGAAGTTATGACTAATTATGATTTGCTGACGTACTGCAACTAGTCTCATTCTATATTATTTAGAAAAGTCAAAATAATGCATCACAGAATATCTCATTTGTTGAATTCTCAAAATATTTTTTCTCTGTTTACTTAGTCAAAAACTTACTAGTTTTTTTTAAAAGAGTAGTAGTCCAGAAAAAAAAACACAAAATATATTGCCTTAGTCCTCAGTGAAAAAAAAAAAACAACTGGTGTATTATTCACGTCAAAATTAATTGATTTTCCTTATATCCACTGCTGGAATATCTTTATATCTGTTGGAATAGAAGGCTATTGTCATACCACTGTAATTGTTAGAAGTAATGTAAAGGAAAATAAGGACATGACTAGTGTGATAATTCCATTGTATTTGAAAAGTTACTAGACTGGTCTTGTATGCTTAGAACTATATTACATCTTTCAATTTTGAAAAGCATTTTTGCTGTTAATGCTCATGTGCTAGACAAATGAAAAACACTGAAAACTGTTTTGCACTGTGAAAGTAATGATTCATAAGGCATTGAATTCCTTGCTGTAAATTTTATTTTTAAGGATTTTTTAATGAACAAAACAATACCAAAAATGCATGCATTTAACATAGCTAGATAGATGCTTGTACTGATTGTGCAGTGGAAGTTCATTGATTCCTAAAGGTATGCAGCTTTCCACATTTATCCATGTTGGTTTACTTTGGCAAACTGAAGTGGGACAGAAATAAATCTGTAGTAGAACAGAGCAGATACAGCTTTGCAATTACTCTCTAATGTCTTTGTCCCTTTAGCTAAGAATGAAACTGGAGTATGGCCTGCTGAATCCAAAACACCAGAAGTTCAAGAAATCTCTCCACAGTCCCTCCCAGGTAATGAAAATTCTATTTTTAGAAACTTGCTGGAATATCTTTGCCAAATATATAAACTAAAATTATATCCATCTTTGTGTTGCTTAATCTGCAGTTAAAGGCAGTACTTGGAAAACAGGAGGATAATGTAGCTGAATTAGTAGTCATGAGTGGTAGATGTGGATAAAAATCTGAATCTAATTTTGGAGGAAAGTTTCATATGCTACAATTGTTGCGTTTATAAAAACACTTAGAATTAGAACCATATCTTTGTGGAGTGCTGGATACCTTGAAATGGTGAAAAACGACAAAAAAAGAGTTTTCTTGTGGTGTACCTTGGAACTTCTGACTTTCACGAAATATATGAAGAAGAAAATTACGGGTAAGAGCATGATTGTGCAAAATACATGCATTAAGATGGAACAGTCACAGTAACAAGCTCTGTTTCAGCGGTGCGGAGGATGGCAGCATGATGTTCCATTTAAGTTCAGTTTTGAACACATTAATCTTGACCACACTCTCTGTGGACTTACTGGTCCTATTAAAATAAATAGGAGCTGTTCACATACATGGGAAAGGAATGTAAAATTTGATCCTAGACTCATATTCAAGGTTATGTGTCTGTGAAAGGTATGTTAACTTGTATATTTGGAAGACTGAAGTTTTTTATCATCTACTTGTGGCTGAAAAAATATCGCCTATTTAAAAGGGCATACTCAGATGGTAATCTCTCAAACTGTTCAAAAACATGAAGAGAAATTTTAAAACTCACAAGATTTACTGCCTTCATCTGCTTAGGAAATAAATAGACAACTTGATAAAGTTGTATGACAAGTATAGCCCTATATTTTAACGTTTGCAATCTTAAAGCAAAAAGATTGGGGAGAACTAAATTGTTCCGAGTCAAATGATGAAGAGTGACTTTCCACCCACTTTATTGACGCACATTTCAGAATTGTTTAAGTAGACACATGCCTCTCGTCATTTTCCGTAGTCTGGCTTTTATCCTATAACTGAGGCTGAAGTCTTGATTCTGCTGTCACTAGAGACAATAGTCGGCTTCTACCAGCTTCTTTGTTGAAAGGGGAGAAAGGAGGCTTGAATGGTGGCAGGACTTGAAAATGAAAAAAGAATTTGAGGAAACAATACGGCAAAGGTTTACTTTGGTTTGGTTTGGTTATGTGATCTTGCTGGCATTACTCTATTCCGTCCATAAAGTGTTTCCTGGCTGGCTGAAATAGCGTAGCACATTATTCCTTTGACATCACACAATTCACACGGAAATTGCCCTTAAATCTGACTGCGTTTATTTTATTCCTTAAGTATAGTAAAGATACCATACTTTACATCATCAGAGCAACTAAGTCTTTAAAACAAGCAAACAAACAATCAATCATAAAACACCCTCCCAAAGAATATGTAGGGAATAAAAGAGATGTAGGATGAAGTAATGCAGCAAAACCATGTAATGATTGACAACCATCTTTTAGATTAAACAATCCATATTTTTTTTTCTCTGAAAATGTTTGCAGCATTTTATTTTCCACGCAATAATTAAGTGTATTTGCCAAATTCTAGTTTTAACCATCAGTTCTTTTCTGCAAAACCTTCATATGGATAGCTCTTTTCTATTCATCCTAAATATTAAGAGGAAAACAAAGATGATCCTCCACAGGAATTTATTATCAAAGGGGGCTCTGAACTTCACAGGTTTAGCGTATGTGTAGTAAACAGTTTGCTTTTAATGGGAAATGTATGCATAGTTTTTAAAAACTGTAAAGATTTTTTTTTTCAATTTTTTTTTGTTTGTTTGTTTTACAGTTTGAGGTCTCTTGTGGACTTAAATTCTGCAGTTATTTTACTAAATCATTTACCTTGTCTAAGTAACTGCAGAACAAGCAATCTACACATATATTTTGTAGAACTTCGCCGTTTTGTGAAAGTGAGAACTGAATGTATAAATTTATGTAATCATCTCTCCCGCAAAATCCTAGTCCTCAGGCTTGCATTCATCTAATCAAAATACATCATTCCTTGTGCTGGAATTTACTCATTAATCAGGTAAACACTGTGAAGTCTAACACCAGAATTGATATATCACCCTGGGAGGAGACAATCAGTCCATTCTGTTTCCTTCCCTTTGTGTTTTGTAATTACGTTTATGTACCTGGCATGCAGTAACTCTAACCATAAACATCGTCATCTCTAGACATAGCACAGAATTATATGTTTATGAAGCTGGATAGTGTGTTTCATTATACATTGTAATAATTGGCAAGTACTGTCCTTTAGTGACAAATTATATATAACCATTTATTAACACTAAACATGTTCTTATTGCTATCACATCATTAGTTATTTACTGAAATATTTAGAATCGTTTTCATCTTCCACTTTGTGCTTCCTGTGTGGTTTTGCTTCCATGTCTCTCTTTCTGTGGTGACCATTCCTTTCAGTCATTTCTTTTGTGTTCACAGCACCAGTGTCTCATGTTAAAGTATGAGTATGTCACACTGTTTACATCAAAGAATGTATTCATTGTGGTTAAAGAGGAAAAAAAATAGAGAGTGGCAGGAAACTGGGAAATGAAAGTGAATCCTTTAAAAGAAGAAAGAAGTTCTTCAAGTGTAATTTCTGTCTAGCCATTGCATTTGCAAAAATAACTTGAATACTTAAGCATTTGAGCCGGACTTTCACAAGTAACTTAAGCAAGAGATCTGAGCCAGTGCTCAGTGGCCTTTTGCAAGGGTTGCATTTGAGAGACAGGGTAATATATAGGCACGATTAATTGAGTTTAGCAATAGGATCTACTTCATTATATTTCATTCAGACTTCCCTATTTGAAGATCATACTGGATTCTTTGAGTAAGGCATAGTAATTATTTGCTGTGAAAGATTTGAGGACTGGTGCCAGAAGTGGTAACAGAGCACTGATTTAAAAGGAGCTGTGTGCAGTAGTAGCCGTTGTGTCATCAGTCATGCAAGAAGGGAAGAAAGCAGCTTGAAGTATTTCAGCAAGCGGACTATTTGAAAGGCTCCATGAGCTGGACCGCTCTTGTATTCCACTGGGTCTTTGTCAAAGGGTGTGTTTTGTGATGTGACGTGGTTCAGTAACTTTTTTTTGGTTTATTTGTCAGCCAGGCATCCCATCATTTTCTTAATTTCAGGCCTCCCCTCCCTTGGCATGCACTTCCATGGAAAGACTGGTTAGTAAGCTTTTTCACGCTTTGTTTTTGCCAGGCTTGTTACAATATTTTCCACTTAGGACTAATTTATTCTTAACACAACAGCACAAATTCATAATGCCTTTTTTTTTTTTCTCCCTTCAACCTTTAAAACGCTGTCTAATACACCTCAAACTACCACTACATTTTTTCTCTCAGTTGAATCAAGTGCGAGCCTTTTTATTAACTTCACGGAGAAACTGGAGCTAACCAACAGTTAGAAATATCAACACATTTGTCTAGGACGTGGAAGAACTGGTTTAAAAAAAAAAAAGAGCAAGTTATTTCTTCATGTAAGGGATCGTACCAGAAATTTATCAAAGGAGATTTGTGAAATAGAGAATAGGCCTGAAATGAAAAGTACCACCTGTGAATCCAAACTAGGGTTAATGTTTAGTAGGAATAACTCCTTTGTTGCCATGTTTCCCAAGTTCGGTTCCTCCTGTCCTCCTCCTGGCTCCTGAAGGCTTCCCCGTGTGCTCACGTGGGATATAGGAAGGAGTGAGATTATTGCTTCCATCAGACTGTCTTAATTCCAGTTGTGGAGGAAGAGAGGAACATGAATGAGAGGGTCAAGAGAAGTTAGAGGAAAAATAGTTTAAGAAATGTTGCCTAAATCATTCTTGCTGTATCCCATGCTGTGGTAGTCAAGTAACTTACCTTGCTTGCTCTTGTTAACCATTTACTTTGCAGCTACCATTGAACCAGCATATTAAGCCTGGCTTACCTGGTGCCCTGGAAAAGTCAGAGGCATTTCTCTCTTTTCCTCTAATTTAGCCTTTAAAGCCTAAACTTTCTGCTTCCTGTATATTTTTTTACAAAAATGTCTGATGTTGCTTCACGTTATCCCTACAATGTTCTGTGCAAAACAGGAGAGCCTGGTTTCTTTTGTCCCAATTCTAGGCATGCCTTCTTTTGTTCAGCTTGCTCAGCTAAGTTAGTTGACAAGAAACGTGTTTCATATTAGTATAAACCATCTGACCTGTAAAAAAAACCCAAAGCATAATGAGGTCTAAATTTCTGTATTTGCTTTTGGTAGGTTTGGGGGCGGGTTCATGATTACATTTCACCATTAAGAAATGTTAGCTTTTGAAGGACTTCTGAGGTACTTCCAAGGTACTTCTGAGGTATGGGTTTGTTAGTTGTTGTTTCTGGGTCTGTTATGGGTGAATTTTCTCCACAAGCTTCATAGAGATAAATTGCTTTAACTTCTCTGTAGAACAAAATCCTCATTCCACTGATGACAGTAACAGCACTGTTAACTGACTTAGTAAAAGCTGAATTGAGTCCTAATAAGGCAGCGTCTGTGGAGATTCCAGCTTTTGTGGCACTGAAAAGCACCATACTCCAAAACAGAAAATAGTATCGTGGTTGTAACTGTAGTAGCATCTACGTAACTATTTAGAATCTGGAAAACAGCAAGTTTTCTTCGGGAAATGAAATAAGAAGCTTATAAACCTACATGATCAGTTCTTGCTTGAAGCATGCTCAGTAGATTGTGGAAAAAGCATGGAGATTGAGCAGGAAAAACAAAAGTAACTCTCCTATTGTATCTCAAAAAGAAAGTGATCTTTTATTAAACTGAATTAATACTAAAACTTAGTGCTACATTGATGCTTATCACCAATATTAAAGATTTCGTCTAAATACCAACATGTACTAAATACCCTGCAGTTTGCTCTGTGGAAGGAATTCATGCTCGTAGCACATTCAAGGCTGAGACCTTACCATCCTGTGTTCCATATCAATAAGCTTTGTCATTTTATAATCTGAGATTACCAGTTATGTGTACTGTATAACTGATCAAACGCTATGGGATTTCCAGCAAGATGGAGAGGGAAGAAGTGATCTTGACTTACATACCATAGGAATTAAATGTTATGTGAAACAGCTGGAAGAGTATAATTATGCACTAGTTTATTAAAATATGGTCAGCGATTCAGTTTAGGTACATTTAATGGCTGTTTAATAAACTGCCCATGCTTTACTCTGAAGATGTACAATTAGAAGAACGAATGAAAGTGAAAAGCCTATTATTATTATCAGAAAAATGAAAGAGCTAAGGTATTATAGGTGAATCTTTATTCTTTTCCTGATAATTTTTATATTAGAAGGGTTAAAAAAATCCAGAATAGCAGGGAAAATATTTGTAAATACACTTTGTGATTTAATGGATCTTGTTTATAATGTAAATGAATTTGGGAGGCTGTAACAGAAATACAGTGTGAGCTTCTGATCTTAGCTTTGTTCTTTGTGACTTATATTTTCCTTTGCTTGTGTAAAACTGCAACAAAATAAATCCAAAACATCATATACACTTCACATCTGAAAACAAAAATAAATATTAATCATGATGGAGTCAAGCTGCTGCAGAAATTGTACTACTCAGGTGGCATAAAATGGTGGTAAGAAAAGCAGCGAGCTTTGGGCAGTAGATAAAGAAAAGCTCAGAGGGATTCTAAATTAAGTAAAGCTTCTTTTTTCTAGCTCAGGCTGAGAAAAAACATGGACCTGAGGAATTTAAATCAACGCCTAAACCCGAATTGGTGCAAACTCAAAACATACTGGGTAACTAATTTTGCTGCTTTTTACCTTCTTCGTACATTAAATGCTTTTTTCATCTCCAGCAGAATTTTTCTGCTACTTGCTGCATCCCCTTTGTATTGACTCCAAAGGAAGTCCTAATTAAAAATTTGTGATTCCCTTTGTGTTTCCAGCAACTCACTTGTGAAATGTAAAGCAGGATGCATCTAGCTCTGGCTCAACCGTGGCTGTTATACATATGATTATTGCTAGCAGATTCGACTGGGTGATTCAATTTTATTTTTCAAAGTAATGCTTTCTGCCTATGTGATGTGCGTGATTGACATAACATAAAATTTCCATCGGTAAAATTAACCTTAGTGATAGAATTGAAATCATTGCCTCTTTGATTTTTCTTCTGATGACACGTTCATTTAAGTAGCATCAACAGTGATGCAAAGGGAAAAATTTATATTGCATGTGACATGGTATAATTGGTTTTGTCCTGCAGGAAAAAAGAGCTCTACTGATTTTTTTCATAGAGATGTCTTAGAACGAGAGACTTCTGATCTAAGTAGTTTTGATCTATTGTTAATTTTGTGATTTGGAGCAGCATCTACTTACTTCTTGCATTCAGAATTCTAAATTCTCCAATGTTGATTTTGTTGCCTGTATTTTAATCCCCAAACCATGCAAAATTATTAACACAAATTTAAACTTGAGGTTGCTTTTTTTTTTTAAACTTTGATTAAATTTTTCTAAAGCACAGATGGCGTACATTCAGGAGGATGTATGATAAAGCATTGGCATTTGCAGGACTGAAATACAGATCTTCCTAGGAAGAGGACTGCTAATGCTTCTCAATAAACATATTTTTACATAATCCTATTGATTCATATTAATGTCATACTCTCTCTTTTGTCTTTTTTCATTTACAGTTGCAAGCAGATTTCCAGAATTTACTGAAGCTAAACCATCACTCAATCTAGTTCTCGTTCTAACTTTTAATCAGTTTTAAAGCATAATCAACCTCACTTGGTTTTTGCCGTGCTTTTAAAGATTAAAATATGACATTTAATTAAGATGGGTCACCGCTTAACTTCAAACTAGATGGTCATAGTTACTGATGCGTGTTCATTATCAAATTCCTGTGATTGATGGATTTTTATATTACAATTAGGGAAAAGGTGATTTTGTTCATGTTCCACACACCTTTAAGTGACAAAGTTATGTGCTTTTTTCCTGGGTTGGAACTACTTTTTTTTCTTTTTTATTAAATATCATTGGTTTCAGGAGTGAGTGGTTTATAAGCCAAAATATAGTTCCATACTGTGTCTTGTAATATTCTTAATCAAGTAAAGCCTTGATTATTTCTTTTATCATAGCTTCTAATGAAATACAGCCACTTCCTTCTGGATCCAGAATCTCTGATGCTCCAAAAAGTCCATTGACAGAACTTGGTAATTACTTTCTTTGTAAATTTGAGTAAACTTCAGTGGGAAATGATCTAATTCTTTTGTTGTTTCTGTGGCTCTTAGGTTTTAATACTTCAGCTGCAATAATATCATTCGGTATGTAAAATATGGTAGCCATTAGCTTTTTCTTCACAAAATTTGCAAATTTCTTCTTTCATTCTGTCATGGTTTAACCCCACCTGGCAACTAAGCACCACACAGCTGCTCGCTCACTCCCCCCCCAGTGGGGTGGGGGAGAGAATCAGAAGAGTAAAAGTGAGAAAACTCGTGGGTTTAGATAAAGGCAGTTTAATAACTAAAGCAAAAGCCATGCATGCAAGCAAAGCAAACCAAGGAATTCATTCCCTGCTTCCCATGGCAGGCAGGTGTTCAGCCATCCCCAGGGAAGCAGGGCTCCATCACGCGTAACGGTGACTTGGGAAGACAAAACGCCATCGCTCCGAATGTCCCCCCTCGGGTGAGCTCTGCTGTCTCTACTGTGCCCCCTCCCAACTCCTTGTGCACCCCTCCTCGCTTGTGTGGTGGGGTGGGGTGCAGAAAAGGCCTTGACTCTGTGTAAGCCCTGCTCAGCAGTAACTAAACTGTCCCTGTGTTATCAACACTGCTTCCAGCACAAATCCAAAACATAGCCCTGTACTAGCTGCTATGAAGAAAATTAACTCTATCCCAGCCAAAACCAGCACACATTCTAAGTCTGGTTTTGCTTTATTGTTGTGACAGGATGCTGCAGATTAATGCTTCATTATAAAAAACAAACAAAAACTCTTGAGGATATGTGGGCTAACTTTTATCTATAGAATGATGATGACAATTTATACTTAGCTAAAATCTGTACTCTTAGTTTTGTAATTTTCTTGGAAGTATCCCATAGGCTTCTGAGACTGTATTTCAGAGTTGGAGTACTGTTCCAGCCAACATCAGTTCTGTGGGTTTTCGTGTAGTTTGCCAAATACTTTAATATTTGGTTAAAATAGTGCCATAATTTGTAGATGTTGTTGTGGTTTAAATATTCATAAGTGTTTGCTTACTTCCAGATTCATGAGTTGTTTTGTGATGAACTTTAGGACACTTTGGAAAGGCCTGATATTTGAGAAAGTGTGGCACTGCTCACATTTTCAAAATAATTTTACCTGTGTTAGGTTCAAAATGTTATGGTCAAAATCTTCTTATGGGCAAACAGGAAACTTTTTCTTTCTTTTTTAAAAAGTTATATTTTATATACATATGCATGCACATTTACACGTATGTCTATATGTGTAGACATGTATAGACATGTATTTACATATATGTATATGCATATATATGTATATGTTTATAAAGTCAAGATTTTTTTTGCTAGTGTAATGGAAATCTTAACAGTCTATCTAATCCAAGAATCATCATTAGTCTAGATCTAACTCTTACAGTAAAACAAAGAATATTAATGCAGGTAGAGTATTTACATACAGAAAAAGCCTCAGTAATATAATTAAAATAGTAATGCACAAACTTCTTAGTTTCTACCCTTTTTCCTGGTGTTTCGCTCACCCTTCCACTGCACCTCTGCGTCCTAAGTTTGGTGATTTCATGCTTGTGTTCGTCATGAGTGGGGACATTTCAGCAAGTTACAAGCATCTGGAGCCCTGTGCTGGGGGGAATATGATGTTCATGTTGATGATTTCTTCCTCCTCTCTTCTTTCTTTCTTTCTTCCATTGAGAGACACCTTACATCTGAATTTACTGTATATAGTGCCATTTGTGTATGTTGGATACTATTTCTGTGTTCTTGTTGTTACCCCTAAAGTAAATTTTGTTCAGCTCCAGGTGTGCAGTTTTTATAACTGACCATCACTGAGCTATTTATGGCATGGGGTCTCCAGTGCCAAGCCTGGTCCCCATCTCTTATCATCCAATGCTTGCACTCCTCTGTGCCATAGCCTGTGTCTCCCCTTCTCAAGACCTCTGCTTTCATAACAGGCCTGTATTTCTCTACACTCTGTCATTGTGTTAATCATAAATATCTAATTCTACCGAAACATCTGCTTGTTGATGCTGTTTATAGAAACAGCTATTACACTAGTTAACTGGAGTGACCTTGAATCAGTATGGATTTATATTTCACTAAGCATTAGTCAAGAAGTTATCATATAATAGTGGTGGTTTATTTAGACAGCATGCTTTACTTAATGTAGTCTGCCAGATTTTCCAGGAACACCTCTTACTTCTTGAAATGCATATTTGAACCAAATTCTCAAGAACATGAAAAGGGTCTTCACAATTTGTTCTTAATTGCTACAACTTTTGACACGTCTTTTCCGGATATGTTTGAGGGGATATATATTTGTTTTACTTGTAGTGAAAGAAGTTTGGTTAAATCCATTTAGAGGCAGTATTGGGGAGAGAGAGAGAGACATTCAGTGATTTAAGAACCTATTTGCTATAAATGTAGCTGAAAACCTGAGAATTATTAGGGGTGGGAAGTATTTTTGCTTTCTGCTGGGGAATAATAACCTAATCCTATGTTTGTCTCAGTGGTAAAGGTAAAATAATAACAACAGTTGAGGCAAAATACACGTTTCATTCAAGCATTTATTCTGGTTTTGTTCTCATGTCTTCCATTCCTGCCAAATACTTTCACTTAGCAAAAGTGGGATTTAATTATGTGAGGCTGGGCCCAGCCATCGGGTCAGCTGGAGCATCTGCGCTCCCCGTGAAGTCAGTGCTGAAGTCAAAGATATTCTGTGAGAGCGAGGAGGGGGTCATACAGAGGAGATTTCTCTGCACTGTGCCTCCGCATGCCTTGATCACCTGCTGTCATAAAATCGGCAATGAAAGCAAAATTTAATTTCTGAAGTTTAAGAGCGTGTGACCCGTACTCTGCCCTAGTTCCCCTGAAGAGTTTTTTTTCTTTATTTTTCTATCTCGATTGTACCAGAGGGAGACATCTCCTTTGTTTTATAAACTTTCTGTGTGGTCGCTATATTTTTTAATTCAAACCTTTCTGAAAAGATAGCTTTGTTAACATGCCTTCAATGTTCTGATGCCTTTGGGAGATCTCTTGTAGTTCTTACGGTATGTAAATGGAGCAATAGAAGCTTTTGCCAAAAGCTGTGAATCATGCTGCTTTTGTTGGTATTATTTTCTTCTCTATAAATATAGAATAGAATAGTTCCAGTTGGACCTACAACAATCATCTGGTCCAACTGCTGAGTCCAGCTAGATCAGGATAGTAACCTGGGATCATCTTTGTTAATGTGAAAAGCTGGATTGAAGGTAAATGGGAAAGCAGATCCAATCTATGAAATAAAAGTCTGTTCACTTTTTGGCTTATATTCGTATTGCCTACATTAAAAATGAACCTTACACCTAGTTGTTTGAATGTTTTTCTCAATCTCACGCAGAGAAGTTTGATTTTAAAATTCTAGTATAACTGCTTTTCAAAAAACCTCATCTTGATAAAGACCAATTAAAAATACAGATGGAAATTTTCTCTTTCAAACATATTACAACCTAAACGGGCATAAGTGACTGGCGCAGATAAGTTTACTGGAAAGAACAGTACTTACTGGCCTGTACGCAGTTGAATAGGAT